CGAAACCACGCATCGACCCGCCAAAACTTGGGGGGTCTGGAACCGGGGTTGTCTGCTGGAGAAAACCGGCCATGGATTTTCGATCAGTTAATGAACCTGGAACTTTTGGAAACATGCGAAACGCACACCCACACCTCTGAGGCAAGCACGGAAGGCCAGACCCACTGGTCGGGAGAGCATGGTGCACAAAGAGTTTATGCCCTTTCCGACTTCTGAGCGAACCTGTTTCTTGCTGCTCGGCGATTCACTTTTGCAGTCCAAGTGCCGATGCTTGGCTTCTTTTTGGATAGATCGGTTCTTGCGATTGCTTGCTCTTTCGACCTTCCGCCTTTTGCAGAAGATCGCTGGCTCCCCGCTTAGTTTTGTTCTTCATTTTTTCCTTTTTTTCATTATTAATTAACAGATGTCATTCCCAACAGCAAAAAACTCGGAACCACTCCGACACATCTGAGCCTGGCTGGGCAGCAGTTCTTGGGGCTTCGGCTTTTTAGTGTTTTCTCGTTTAGTTTTGGCCAACTGGACCCCAAAGGTTCAAAGGTCAAGAGTTGTCGCTGACTTCCTTGTCCCTTTTGGCGCATTTTACGAATCTTTCGTCTGTACAACTCGATCCCGAGTTGGCGGCGATTGGCAGGCAACCCATCGCCCTGACCCAGGATCAACAAATCCACGGTTGGTTCAGGGGAGAGAGCGGCGTTCCATGGAAGAGTGAACTGCACGAGTGAATTCTGCAGGTTGTGCTGAGGGCATATCCGCCTAATCATCAACTAAGCTGACATTCAGCCGATATATGAGTCAGGAAACTGATGTTTTGCCCGCAAACATTTGTGCGATCTGCTGATAACAGCGCTCTGCAGGCAAGCGCATGAAGGTAGTGGTTGAAGGAGGCAAACAAAATGGCAGAGCAGACAATAGATATTGGAAGTGAAAGGTAAGCAAGCGCGGGCGGAGGCAGGGTAGGCGCACGAGGCAGGGATGTGCAACATCCAGAAAGTCATTCAGACCCAAACTTGGACCAGGTCCCAATGAGACAAATTCCCCGCTGCAAACATGTGGGGCAGGGCGGGGAAGAGGCATGCGATTCAGGCATTGTGGGCAACTCCGCCATCTGAAGCTTAGGGAACTCCCGCTAGCACAGCTTGCGTGAAGCACCCTCTGTTTCACATGGACCCCCGAAAGCACCGCCGTGCGAACTCCTTTTGGGGGAGCCCCCATGGAATCCACAACAATTTGGGTAGTGCTGACCTATGTAAAGAAAAACTATCCGGTTTTAGCAGATCCTTGCTACCCCGAAGCTTTGGGGAGCCCCTCACGGCTGCTGGCTGACCCCCCAAAGTGGAATGGCTTTGAATTTGCTCCACGGCAAGTTTCAAGAATCAGTTCCCTTTAAAAACAAACAGGCACAAATAGGATGAATTGAAGATGGACATGTGGCTGTGGGTCAAAATTAACCAACCAGGGGACCGCAGATTCTAGTTCATATTTCCATTTACCAGGGCAAGCCATTATTGGGTTAATTACCCCATTTTTGACCCGCAGCCATGTAAATCAACGCTGTCTCAAAGAGATCTAAGAGCTTCCTACCAGGTGGCATGTGCCCTCGGCTTCAAATCGGCCGGCCCGCAGGTGCCACTCCGCGCGTTTGCTCTAACAACAAAGCTAAGCAACTTGGACACCCTGGGAAAGCCACATGAAACAAAACAGCACACTAAGCAACTAGAAATCCCTAAAACAACATACACAAAAACCACACTCAACCAACAAAAACACATGAAACAGAACAAAAACACAAGCTCTCAGACACAGCTTGAAAACAATTCGTGAGGTCCACACAGCTCCTCCCTCGGCTCCTTTTCTGCTCAGACCATGGGCAAGTCCTGGCCCCGGGTGGCCCTCATTGGCAGATCCATGCGGGCACCCACCTCCTTCGCCTTGCGAAGCGCAAGTCTTGGCGATTCGGGGGGAGAAAAAAAAACACATCAATCAAGTGCCGGCCAACATAGATGCCACAATCCCCCCCTGTTCTGCCCATATTATATGAGTTTGTATATATATATACACACGCTCCGTCAGTGTGTTGAGTAAAGTAATTTGATGAAGCATTAAATGGGTATGGGTCAAAATAAAACCACCAGCAAATGGACGGCATCTTTTAGTCTTTGGTTCCATTTACCAGGGCAAGCCATTTTGGGGTTACATATTTTTGACCCACAGCCACAGTTGCGCAGAAACAAATCCAGATGTCCGGAATTAAGGTTTGCTAACCTGTTAACCTCAGATTGAACTGAGGGAAATCACGAAGTGATTGGCTTTTTTTTTCAACGGCATTCACGGCTGGCTATGTTCTTGATATTTTGGAAGCCCTGCCGTTGCGTTGTGTGCTGAAGTGTGCACATTCGACGCAGATTGCCCCTGGTCGCGGAAAAGTGAGATGGAACCATGTGCCCTGCTTCGCTGAGGTCGGCCGCAGACGATGAACGACCGCCACAATGTCTGGGATTTGGGTTTACTAACCTAACATCAGATTGAACCAAGGGAAGTCAAAAAGCGAAGAAAGTGAGTGGATTCCCCCTCTTAAATGGACTTCTCTCCAAAAAAGCGAAGCTCCCAAACACCTCTCCCTAGAGATGTGTTAGGAACCCTGCCCCAAAAAAAACAAAAACATAAGGGACCTTCATGGTGAGCTCGTTTTCCCACCTATAAAATCCCGGCAGGTGTTCACACCCACCTACCGGGTAGCCCCCTGCCTTCTTGTCCCGGGACAGGAGGTTGCAGCGTTGGACAATGTCCTGCAAAGGCCCACGGCCTTTGGGGGGATTTACTGGGCACAAAGAGACCTCCCCCCAACAAAAAACAACAGAAACACGAAGAAGAGAAAATCAAACACCAACCAAAAAACCCGGAACCATCACACAAACACACCAGACCCAGGTGCCGAGCGACTCGAACGGTAGAAAGGCCTGTCTGGGTTGAGCAGTCGTGGAAACCCCCGAACAAAATGGGCAAACACGTGCCACTTTCAAAGGTAAACCCGAAAGGGGAAACAGGGAGGTAGACAAAATCTCTGTCAATGACAAATACTGAATTGGGCTTCCCATTCAAACTCCAGTTTGCCATATGTTTGCCATAAGGCATCGGCGGTCTGCCCTTTGCACCATAGGGCCAAACTGACGTTGGCAGCTACGCTGGACCCACTGCAAGTAAACCAACCACAGTTCACCACAACACTCTATGGTAAGTTTCGGCCAATCGGAGGTTTGCTTGCTCCCCTTGGCTCAGTTGCTGTTGACCCCCACTGCAAAAAGTTCAACCTATTGTGAGTCCAATTGAAAATCCCACACGTCTCAACCAACAAGTTCGTGTCTTCAAAGATCCTTTGCCAAATATATCCATAAACCCTACGGTAAGCTTGGGCAAGAATCGGAGGTTTCTTGTTCCCCCGCGCAATTGGCCACGGGTCAAAAGCCCGTACCCCCAGTGAACATCTCAATCCCCACTAACATCGACATTCTTCTGGGTGGTGAATTCACCAATCCCCCAAAATGGGGTATCCCAAAAACGGTTTTGACAAAGGCCAATTCCCCTGGCACTGGTCTCCTTCCGCAGCTCGTGGAATCCCGTCTGCCAGGCGGAGGAGCACAGCAGGATCTTCCGATCCACGCGCTTGTAGCCCTCGAGGTCCGAGCGCGCCAGGGACGCGATCTTGATCAGCCTCGGCGCGAGGCGGCCGGCCGGAGCTGGGGGCTTGCAAGATGGGGTGGCCAATCCGAGTTTCCAGAATCTTTTTAGGAAAGCCACTGCAAAGAAGAAACAACACCTGGCGTACTTCCAGGTAAGGAGTAAGGATTGCCTTTGAACAGTCCAGATAGATGAACAAAGAGCCCTGTTGCCTTTTTTTTCTTGGGAGGGAAGAAAGTTCAAGCCAGGTGGCACGAAATAGGAGCCCTGCTTCTGTTCTTCCTTTTTTTTTTTTTTGGGGGGGGGGTGAGAAAGAAACAAGTCCCGGGAGATTGCCTAAGATAGAACCCTGGATTTTGCGTCGGAGAGGTTTGACAGAAACAATGACGGATAGTTTCAGGACGTGTTTTGAGCCATTTCTTGGAGTACTTTTTGGATTTCAGGAGTAAACCCAGGTCCGCCCGCTGGAAAATGACTTCCCTATGGGCAACGACACTTGTCTGGCAACACGAAAGGAATCGACACGCCCAAGTCCCAATCGCTCACAATGTGAAACTGCAAAAGTGTTCTCAGCCAGGAAAATAGAGCAATTGGTATCCAAAAGTGGCCCAAACAGTGGCTTTTGAAGCTGCTTAAAAGGGACATCTTGTCGGCCATTTCGACCGAGAGGAACCCTTCACCCATTTTCGGCCCAGCTCGGAGCCGCGGTGCGCGACTCAGCCGTCACTGGATCTCACTTAAGTTGAAGTGCGCTGGCGGGTTCCCACGAAATTTACCACCGGTGGAGGAGCAAAGGGAATATTGAGGGACCCCTGCAACCAGAATTGCAAAAAAAAACGGCTTGAGAGGCTCACTTGGCTTGAACCTTTCTAGGAAACCACCTCCAAAGTAGTGGGCAAGCCCCAGAATGATGTCAATAAAACCCCCCCCTCCTTCTCTATGCCCCTCCACTCCAGGTGAGGCCCCCCAAAAAAGAAGAAAACAACATCTTTGCCCCTCCACTTCATGCCCCCCTCCCCCCCCCTCCCAAAAAAAAAAAAAAAAAAACGCAAAAAGTAAAGAAAACAACAACAACAACAACAACAACAACAACCACACAACAACAACAACAACAACAACAACAACAACAACAACAACAACAACAACAACAACAACAACAACAACAACAACAACAACAACAACAACAACAACAACAACAACAACAACAACAACAACAACAACAACACACCAACAACAACAACACACACCAACAACAACAACAACAACAACAACAACAACAACAACAACAACAACAACAACAACAACAACAACAACAACAACAACAA